TTTTTTTTTTTTTTTTTTTTTAAGGCTTCTGTGACCTGCAACGGCAAGTTACATTCAATACATTCATAGTTTGTCTCCAGTATGATTTCTTTCATGCCTTTGAAGATAAATGATATGTGCAAAGGCTTTACCACATTGATTACATCCATAGGGTTTTACTCCTGTATGAGCACTTTCATGTATTTGAAGATTACGATGACTTACAAAGGCTTTACCACATTGATTACATTCATAGAACTTCTCTCCAGTGTGAGTTCTTTTATGTATTTGAAGATTACTGCTACTTGCAAAGGCCTTACCACATTGACTGCATGCATAGGGTTTCTCTCCAGCATGGTTTTTGAAAACGACAGAATTGTGTAAAGTCTTTCCCATACTGATTACATTCAAATGGTTTATCTCCAGTATGACTTCTTTCATGCCTTTGAAGATATATAATATGTGCAAAGATTTTATCACATTGATTACATTCATACGGTTTTACTCTTGTATGAGTACTTTCATGTATTTGAAGATTACGGCGACTTACAAAGGCTTTACCTCATTGGTTACATTCATAGGGTTTGTCTCCAGTATGACTTCTTTCATGTGTTTGAAGATTACTGCGACATCTAAAGGCTTTACCACATTGATTACATTCATAGGGTTTTTCTCCAGTGTGAATTTTTTCATGACTTCGGAGACTAATGGAATGTGCAAAGGCTTTACCACATTGATCACATACATAGGGCTTTTCTCCAGTATGAATTCTTCCATGTATTGAAGATTTCTGTGACTTACAAAGGCTTTACCACACTGATTACATGCATAGGGCTTCTCTCCAGTATGAATTTTTTGATGTGTTTGAAGATAACTGTGACTTCTAAAGGTTTTTTCCACATTGATTACATTCATATGGTTTCTCTCCAGTATGGATTTTGTAATGTTTTTGAAGACGACTGAAATGTGCAAAGGCTTTACCACACTGACTACATTCAAAAGGTGTGTCTCCTGTATGACTTCTTTTGTGTGTCTTAAGATTACTATGACTTGAAAAGGCTTTACCACATTGACTGCATTCATAGGGTTTCTCTCCAGTATGGTTTTTGTAATTATTTGAAGATGACTGATTTGTGCAAAGGCTTTATCACATTGATTACACCCCTAGGGTTTCACTCCTGTATGAGTACTTTCATGCATTTGAAGTTTACAGCGAGTTACAAAGGCTTTACCACATTGATACAAACATAGGGTTTGTCTCCAGCATGGCTTCTTTCATGTGTCTTAAGATTACTGCGACATAAAAAGGCCTTACCACATTGACTGCATTCATAGGGTTTCTCCCCAGCATGAGTTTTTTCATGATTTCGAAGATTAGTTAAATGTACAAAAGCTTTACTACACTGATTACATATACAGGGTTTCTCTCCAGTATGAATTCTTTCATGTATTTTAAGATAATGGTGACTTGAAAAGGCTTTACCACATTGATTACATACATAGGGTTTGTCGAAGTATGAATATTTTCAGGATACTGGAGACCAGTGAAATGTGCAAAGTCTTTTGCACCTTGATTATATTTATGGGATTCTACTTCCACATGAGTTCTTTGGTGTAACTGTAAAGAGGAATCAGATCTAAAGTCTTTATCATGTTGATTATATTCATAGAGATCCTCTTCATTATGGGTTCTTTTGTGTGTTTGAAGATACCTGTGATGGTTAAAGCCATTAGTAGATGATTCACATTTATCACTTCCTCTTCCCATATGAGTTTTTTCACATTTCTGAACAGAATTGGAAGAACTCAGAGTTTTACCACACTGATTGCATGCATAACATTTTTCTATACTGTGAGTCACACTACATTTGCAAAGTGAACAAGCACAGACAGAAGAATTCCCACATTCCTTGTAATCATAAGGCTTTTCTTCAGTGTGAGTTTGTTGATGTGTTCCCGGTGTAGTTGGAAAACCAATTAATTGTAAACTTGTATCACATTCACCAAGTCTACTCATAGTGGGCACTCCAACATATCTTCTAACTGTTGTAGGAGAGAGAGAGGTACATTGCTTCTTCCCGTATCCTTTATGTTCAAATGGTTTATAGCCAGAAGGACAGATGAGATACCTATTAAAGGAAGAATAACAAAGAAAAGGCTTTTACATTGCATTCACACAATCTAACTTTTTGTTCCTCATAGAGATGTGGTATAGAGATTAAGGTTTCTCCACTATGACAACCTTCTTGACTCTCATAAATTGCCCCTCTCAATAAACTATGGTAAGTTTTTATAAGTATATGAGTAACACTAACTTTACTATGGACTATTTGCATATACAAGATCTTGGACAGACACTGATCCCCCTAATCAATGTATATGCCTATATAAATGGTATGAAAATAAAGGGATAAATAGTCCAAAATGGATCTCATGGGGCTATCATTAAAATAGTGTCACGTGTTAACTTGTTTCATTGTCTTCTTTCTTAAAGAAATGCCTTGGATTACATGGATCACCTACCTGACACTGAGATATATTGTTTTGTGGGTATTTAATAATCATCAAAAACCTGTGCTTATTTACAGTGTTCTCATTCCTTAAAGCTTCAGGGCACATTAAAATTTCTTCAGCTTGTATATGACAATTACCTTTCATGTCTTCTAGAACTTGGATGATGTTCTTCAATATTCTGGTCTTCCCATTTGTAGCCTAAAATACAGTACCACAAAATGTATGATATATTATAGGAAATTATGCAAAATTTAAGTCACTATCTTTGTTGAACCTGAGAACCATCCCTGACTTATTCACCACATTCTTCCTTTGTCACAACAGAAATCCCCTGAGAGTATCAACGATCAAGAAATGCTTGTCCCCTTTGTAAAACATGACAAAAATCTAACATTCCTACCTATAGCAGTGAGGTTCCTGCAGGTTTCCAGCATCATTTCTTCATAGAGACTCTTCTGGTAAGGATTCAGCAAAGCCCATTCTTCAGGAGTGAAGTTCACATGCACATCCTCATAGGTCATTGTATCCTAAAGTATCCCACATATGTATGTAATAGAAATGTTGAGACTGACTGAACTGTACAAGTATACTTCATTGAGAATACATTTACATGATTCTGTGTGCTCCATACATTTATTCCATGTCACAGAATTTCAAATGCAGTCACCAAGTCATTGTAGAAGGAAACAGGAAATAAGATCATGCCTCTCAATTCTGTGCCCACTGAATAGGTTATGACATGGCAAGAGAAATGACTACTAACATAATAAAGAAAGACATAGGAACAGAGCAATGCTACTGAGTATACATCAGCAAAATTGTATCAAAATTCCTAACGTCAAAAAAGAAATAAACAAGGGTGTGCATGGTGGTTCACACATTTAATTCCAAAACTCGGAAGGGCAGAGACAGGTGAATTGCTGCCATTTTTGAGGCCAGTCTGATCTATGTAGAGATTTTTAAAGACAGATAAGAGCTACATAGTGAGACTCTGTCTATAACAAACAAACAAAAACAAAGGGAAAAAAACACTTAGGGGCTCAATCAACATTCCTCCAAAGACTCAAACATTCATTCCACTTCCATACTGGTCTTCCAGAAAACTAGAGTGGGCCAGTTTAAACTGTAATATGATAATTCTGTGAACAAATTTCAATAAGTTACTGACTGACATATAAAAACGTTCTCAAAACATTAGCAAAGGAAATGCTGAATCAGAAAAAAATTAGAGTGTAAAGTTGGGTCAACAGCTAGGATAATGTGCTGCTCTGCAGAAGATTTTAATCAATCCCTCACACTCATCTGGAGGCTCACAACCATCTGTAACTCCAGACCAAGAGAAGACAATATGTTCTTCTGACTTCAGTGGACTAGACATTGTTGAGGTATTTATTGCTTGTATATATGGTATATAGCTATTGTACTTTTGTATATAGTTTTTCTTATATTAGTTAAACTTTTTTCCTTTTTCCTTTTTATTAAAATAGAAAAGGGGAAATATGGTGATATTTTCTTTGTAATGAAACGTGATATTATTTATATGTTAATAAATAAAGTTGCCTGGGGGTCAGAGCTAATAGCAAGCCGTAGCAAAAACTGAGCAGTGGTGGTGGTGAACACCTTTAATCCAGATCACATGACAGGCAGATCTCTGTGTGTTCAAGGATACAGCCAGCATGGAGACACACACCTTTAATCTCAATACCAACCACAGAAAACCTGGAGGTCTGTATAGACAGGCAGTGATGAGGAGGTCATGTGGTTGGGTTTACAAACAATGAGAAGGCAGAAGAAAATCAATAAAAAGACAGACACACAGGAAGTAGGTCTCTTTCTGAGGGAAAGGACAGCAGCGGCAGCGAAGGGTAAGAAAGGGTTTTTAGCTCTTAGCTATCACTCTGATCTCTTGGGATTTCAACTCTGCATTTGGCTCTGTGTTTCTATTTTAATAAGACAGTTACATGGACAGCTCATGATTGGTTCACATTCATATATATAGGCAAGAGACTCAAGCATGTTTATTTTTTTTAATTCAAAACACTTGCCTGGTGGATGGTGGCGCACACATTTAATCCCAGCACTCAAGAGGCAGAGGCAGATGGATCTCTGAGTTTGAGACCTGCCTGGTCTATAGAGCTAATTCCAGGACAGCCAAAGCTGTTCTATAATGAGACCCTGTCTCAAAAAAACCAAAACAATAACAACTCACACCAAAACAAAACAATAAAAAAAAATTTAAGAAAACTTAAAAACATACAGAAAGGTAGGGAGAATGTTAAGCACCTGTAATCCAATGTGTGCTGGCTAGTTTTAGGTCAACTTGACACAAGTTAGTTATCTGAGAGGAGGAACCACAGGTGAGGAAATGCCTCAATAAGATCCAGCTGTAGACAGGTTTGTAGGGCATTTTCTTAATTAGTGATTAGCAGAGAGGGCCCAGCCCACTTTGGGTGGTGCCATCCCTGGACTGATAGTCCTGGGTTCTATAAGAAAGGAGACTGAGCAAGTCATGGGGAAAAAGCTGGTAAGCAGCACCCCTCCATGGCCTCTGCATCAGTTCCTGCCTCCAGGTTCCTGCCCTGTTTGAGTTCCTGCCCTGGTTTCCTTTGATGTGCAGTGATATGGAAGTATATACCAAATAAACCCTTTACTCCTCAACTTCTTTTTTAGCTGTGGTGTTTTATCACAGCAATAGAAACCCTAAATAAGAGAAGTTGGTACCAGTATTGTGGGGTATTGCTTACAGACCTGACCATGTTGTTTGGGAAGGACCGTGAAAGGACTTTGGAACTTTGGGTCAGAAAAGCCATTGAATGCTGAGAGCTCAGTGAACTGTTCTGTAGGAGCTTGGAAGATAAGAATATTGAGAGCAGTGCAGAAGATGGAGGCCTGGCTTCTGACATTTCAGAAGGAAGTAAAGACACTACCAGACCTTTTATGTAAAGAATCTATGCTCTCTGGTCCACTGGAGCTGAAAAATCTACTGTGATTAACAAGAGACCAGAACCACTGAAATAAATAAAACATTTGCCTTATTGAGACAACTGATGCTGGTTAGCTGGAGCTGAGAAATTTGCAGTGATAGAAAAGACCAGCATCACTGAGGTGAAATCTTCTGGGCAGTGGTTCATCAGAGTCAGTACACAGAAGCTGTGTACCACAGGTGGCTTTCTTCATTAGGGTTTTGCTGAGAGCTGCTGGTAGCAATGGCTTTACCAGAGGTCATGGGAATATACAGCAGGTGACAACCAGTGTTCAGCAGGTTGACTCACTAGATAATTCTCTGATGGGGAGCCCCACTTTCAAAGCTGTGGGGTTACTGACTGTAAATGACTGGTTGCTTCTCTCTGTAATTTTTTCTCACCTGCCACTACATTTCTTCCCTTCAAACAGCTATGAATATTTTCCCCACTGATTGTGTTTGGACACACATACAGCTGTGGATGGTCAGGAAGATGATTTCTGCGTAAGATGTATAATTTTGATGAATAGAAATAATACTAGGTTATTTTTCATAATTGACATAGGCAAGTAACAGTATTCTCAGTCACAAAGACAGCTAATTTTAGATTTTAGAGCAAATTCAAAACAGACTAGATGCCCCTGCAGAGAATACTCAAGGACAAGTTCCCACGTGTCTGTTAAACCAAAGTCTGGCTGATAACATTAAGATATAACCCCCTAAAGTAATTGACTTTCTGTACATAGCCCTACCACTCAAGGTTCAGCCAACTAATTGTTTATTGTTGACTCCTGAATTTCAATGTCACTTTCTGTTTGAGAACCCTACCACTCAGAGCTACGTGCTTACTTTACTCACCATGCCCAGTTGGCGTGACATCTCTACCTGAGAAAAACTGTGTGTTATAAGAATGGGTCAGACTCTGAAACTGTTTAACAAATAAATGTCCAGAGTTTGATGCTGAAGGTGTGTGTGTGTGTGTGTGTGTGTGTGTGTGTGTGTGTGTGTGTGTGTGTTGAAAGAGAGATGTATCTGAGTATACAGAGGGAGAAGTGTGCATGAGGGATGTAAGAAGAAGTATGAAACAAGAGATGTAGTTATATGAGAAAGAGATATAAAGAGAGATAGAGGTGGAGAATGTAGAAGAAGCATGTGAAGAGATGTAGCTGTGTACAAAGATACATGGCTGTGTGGAAAGAGATGTCACTGTGTGGAGAATATAGCTGTGTGGAAAGAGAGATAATTCCTATTTGTCTTAGTTATGTGGGTACAGAGAGATTTTTCAAGATCAACTAAAAGAGAAAGTTATCATCAGAAGGTGTGAGTGCTTTTTTTGCTACCCCTGAGATAAAAAAAAAAAAGTCTAGCCCTCACCCTATTCGTGGATTTTTTTTTTTTTTGCATACTCTGGAGGTGGTCTTGGAGCAGGCTCTCCAAAGAGTTTCTATTGCTATGAAGAGACATTATGACCATGACAACTCTTATAAAAAAAAACATTTAATTGGGGTGGCTTACAGTTCAGAGGTTCAGACCATTATCCTCATGGTGGAACATGGTGGCTTGCAGGCAGACATGGTACTGGCGAAATAGCTGAGAGTCCTATATCTTGCAGGCAACAGGAAGTGGCCTGCGTATCAGACTGAGTGAGGCCTGAGAATATATGAGACCTCAAAGCCTGCCATCAGAGTGACATATTTCCTTCAACAAGACCATACCTATTCCAACAAAGCCACACCTCCCAATAGTCCTATATCCTTAGGGGGTTATTTTCTTTCCAAACAACACAGTGGCCAACGTTGTACCTTGCACTGGCAGGTGAACTTAGTACTGTAACAGTCACCCAGGCGGTACTGGTTTTAAAGGCATGAAGGAGTCATGAAGGGCAGCGGAGGCTTGGCATTGTGAGAGGTCATTTGAATGGAGTCATCAGAGAAGTTGAGGTTTAGCACCACAAAGAAAGCCTAGGAGAGGCTATTGGTGAAACTGCAGCCCAGTTGCAGCAAGAGGCCTGAGCACACTGGAGATGCCAGTACCACGGGATGACTACAGCAGCAGCAGTGAACTGGAGGCAGCTGGAACCTGGAAGACAGGCTGTGTGTGCTGCAGAGGGCAGAGCTACAGAAGTGACTGGAGTCCCTTGGAGGAGCCCAGAAGACAGTGAGTCTGAGATAATTGGACATTGAGTTATTTACACTGTTGACATTTGTTTTTGCTTTGTTCAGACTGTGACAGTGACCTAGCTCTTGACAATAAGTGGGCTGATGGTGGTGGATCCACACCTCTCCTGTTCTCCAGATCCAATCTCCCCAGACTCATCCCCAGCTTTGTAGCAGAAAACCTGATGTGTTCTCCCTTTCCTCTCTGACCCCATCCTCAGTGGATCACAAAGATCTCCTCCAACCTTCCTTCCCCCAACACATCTCAGTACCCCAGCCCCCAACACCATCAGGCATTCACCATAACACACCAGCTGAGCAGGCTGGGGAAACAGGTAAGCTAACTGAAGACCTTCACATCCTTTCCTCTACTCCAAACTTGTTGATTTATCCCAGCCCCCAATTCCAGCAGGCACATCCTGGTAACCAACAGACACATCCAGCTAACCAACAGACCACTCCCACCAGGGAAGCAGGCAGGCTGTCTGTATATCTTACCCTCTCCTTGTGTTGCTCTAGATCTACCTTAGAGTCTCATCCCCAGGGCCATAGAAGACCCTCTGCAGTGACCTCTTTTCACCGTCTCCCTCCATTCCAAGCAGATGAAATAAGCAGATCCTCATCAAACACTCTACTCTGCTCCCTACTGTGAATCCCTTCCGATCTCTAGCCTATCCCTATTCTTAAGTGTCAGCTCCCAATACCCAGCAACACACTTTACCTGGAACCACATTGGCCAAAACTATCAGGTCCAAAGAAAATGTCCTACCAGGCAACACAT